CTAACTTGTTTAAATGCAAACCTCTTCTGTTCAAATGACTAGTATTGATGTTTGCATTTCTTAGGAAAGGAATCTTGTTTACTTGACAATAATTGTCTAAGATAAGGTTAACTTGCTTAACCTTGGTAGCTAATTTCGGACAGTCATTCCGGTCTAGCAACGCTGATACACCTACCATAGTGTTTGGAGAATCCTCTTTTATCTGAGTCGTCAGGTTTAAAATTGAATCCGCAATAACTTTCGGTGTAGAATTTTTTAAGTCATTTGTGCCGACATGAAGAATGACTTTATTCGGTGACTTACGAGTAATAGGTTTGATAAAGTCTTCCATATCCTCAACGGTTGCACCCGGGAACGCTTTCACAACGTAGTGATGACCAACATCATCTTTACTCATATATGCTCCGACCATATTCTTTACTAAAGAATCACCGGCAATCACAACAACATCTTTCTTTTTTTTCCTGGTTGAAGATTTACTTACGGTGACATTGACCTCTTGTGTTGCGTTAGCACCAGCTATATTCTTGTCAGGAGGCAAATAATTATTAGGTGATGAGCCCCCGCTGGGTGATAAGGCATCATTAGGCGATGAAGCGTCACCAGGCGATGAAGCGTCACGAGGTAATGAGGCGTCAAGAGGCGATGAGGCGTCCCCAGGGGATGAAGCATCACTAGCTGGAGGATTACGTTGCAATAACTTATTTTCTTTCCCTTTGTTTTTTCTCTGTCTCTTTTTCTTCTTTTTTTCACACGTTTTAGAGGTGGGATCCAATACATTTGTTTTATCCAAATTTACTGATGGAATATTTGGGGGGTTTTCGCCTTTACCTTCGCTTAGGTTTAAGAGTTGTTTACTGAGCATTTCAACTGTCTTAATTAAAGAAGAATTATCTCTTTGTAAGTGAATGATTTGCATATTCATGCTTGAATTCGCTAACTCTTCCCCTTCGAGAAAAGCAATTTTCTTCTTAAGATTCGATATTTCAGCATTTAACCTATCAATATCCCGTCCATGCGTGTCACAACAGGCAGAACAAGGGTTGGCAATCACAGCTTTCTTCTTTAGATCAGCAATTTCGATATTTAGCTTATCAATATCCCGTCTATGCGTGTCACAACAGGCAGAACAAGGGTTGGCAGTCACAGCCTCGGGGACAAAAGATGTAATTTCTACTTCTGACAAACCCTGCTTATTAGCTTCATGGTTACAAGACTCGCCTAGCCCGAGCACATTTTCGACATGATTATTGTTACTAATATTGCAGCAAGAGATATTACTTACTTGCAACAATGAGGTGCATGGTCCTGGCGTTTCATCAGGACTATTATTATCCACTTCAGTGCTCGCTTCGGCCATAAAACATTCTAAGGACTTGTTAAGATCGCTATTTTTGGCTTTCTTCCGATCGACTGATTCTACAAGAATACCATGTATTCGTATAGACAAATCTTTAGCTTTGGTACCTTCAAAGAGTATTGCTTCGCTCTTCGTATACCACGTAACTTTAAGTTGATCGCTGTCGAAGCACCATTTTCCGCCACTGGGTGAACGCCATGTCGAACTTTCAGCAGTTTCTTCGTCGACTATTGTAAGAACAAATGCCTTGAGATCTTCTAGAGATCCTGACCATGTTAATTTATTTTTCTTCTTGCCAAAGAAACTATATAGAGCATTAATAACTGTTGATGAATTCATTTTGAACAGGAGCTCAACAACACACGTCTGATCTTCACGTGTTTGTAATGTGACTGAATCTGCTTTTATCAAAGCTTTGGAGGATATATCATTGCTCAGGGGAAGGGTAATTTTCATAATCTTAGTACAGTATTTGTTTTGGTTTGCGGAAAACATTACATTAATATTTGATACAGTATGAGCTTACAGATTAAAAGCTTTGCAATTATAATTATATATATGATGTTTCCACAAACCAAAACAAAACAAATATAACTAAAATTATCAACATGCAAAACTACAAGGAAGTTATGACTACATCGTTTTGTTAGCCAGTCTGGCTAACAAAAAGATGTAGTCATAAAGCAGTATTTGACTGGAAACTTCTCTCAGACTGACTCTCACAATGCAATTTTGGCCAATTAGTTTATTTATTTAAATAGTACTAATAGTATTATTACGTCTTGAATGGTTCTTTTTATTTTGTTTTTAATGTTAATCTTGTTAGAATGGTACAATAAACCCAACAACATTTAGAAAAGCTGTATCTGAATGGCGATACTGCCAACATGAGATAGATAAGCTGCAAGGTATCTGTTGGTTGGATTGTCCTCCATGTCATGTTTCACAACATTCGGCCCATGTAGATGGTAACCAGAAACTATACAGATTTAAGAATGTCCCAAGGTATTGTGCAGTAAAGCTACCTACCGTAAATTATTTTTACTGCAGGTGCAATTCAGTACAACACGAGTTTTTTGTAAACCCTGTCAATAATAAGTTAATAATGTCCATTTACAATTTAGGTTAATTTGCAGATGCATGTATGTGTAGTGTATCATCGCAATTACCTACATGTACATGAATCTTCATGATGTCTTCTATTAGTTAACGTAGTGAGTGGTACTCTGCATAGGCGTCGGAAGATCGATAAGTGGAAGGGGGGACCATATTCATATATTCGTGTTCACAGACCTTAAAAACAATCGATTATCGCTCTATCGACGCCTATGGTACTCTGTGAGAGATATTTCCCACTCTACAGTTTTGTAATTATTGTTTTGTTTTTGGTAGAGGTAACAGATCATCGTACTATGAAGATCTTTTTATTAAACCCAATGCGGAGGTGGACAAACAGATTGTTGAAGTATATCAACTTGGAACTAAAGAGGTACGGTACAAGTACACTAACATACAAAATATGAGATGGAGTTTAAAAGGTAACGATAACGACAACACCGACGAAGATGAAGAGAAGATGGTGGAGGACTATGTACAGTACAATAGATAATGCGCGATTGTATAGAAGTATAATATGAAGATAATACATAAAACTTTTCAATTGTGCATAATGCATAGTATACTGATGTGTA